CATCAAAATAGATTCTAATAAGAATGATTAAAATTATATTGTCTAGGTTAATGCTCACTTTCCAATAAAATTCGAGACCTGAAAGAAAACATGTGAGCTTACTTCTTGACCAAGTTGGAATATAAAATTTTGACAGTCATAAACATCACAAATTTCAATATATTTATTTTTTAGGATATAACAAAGGTTTGTAAGATAGATCATTGATTAAATTGTTATTGCCTGGTCGTCGCTAGTTGCTATGTCGGAATCACTTATTACTTTACTTTTAAAACGAGAATCCACTGCAATTCTCGTGACGTGAACTAAGAACACCAAAACTGGTACAAGTTGAGATTCATTAAACCTCAAATACGACGACTACCCTAGTCGAAAGTACACTCATTTTTATATTGATTGTACACTCATTTTGATCATTAACTAGGATGAAATCATATATATAAAAAATACCCAGAGTTACATCAAATCACATACTGAGTGTCATGTTGAGCCTAGTTCATGTTAATTTAATACAAGGATATCATATGTTATACCAAATAAAATGTCACATTGGGAAACAAAACAAAATACTAAACTGAGTGATTAACACGTCCAATTAAGACAGACGTACTCCTGAATGAAAACCATAATGAGTAAAATGATGAAATTTTGCCTTTTTAATCCCTTCATATCATAAATAAAACGGTGATTGATAAATGAAGAGATTCAGTTATTCATTCAAACTATTAATATCTAAATATATGCTCGTTTCGATCTCAATATCTGCGATTTTTATATATTCAATATATTTAGTGATTGATTAATAAATGAAGTGTTGTTGTAAACATCCTTTGAATAATTTTGATTAGATGAATATCTATTGTAACTTACATAAATAAGCATTAACATGAACTATGCAACTAGTTGTAAAAATCAAATAATTTGCTTATCAGCATTATACGGAATAAACTGGGATGTATTAATAAGGTAAGGTTTATCCCAACATGTTCCTTAGAACTTTACTAAAACTTATCTGTTAAGAGTGACTAAAATAAGATACGAATGGTAACGTAGATCTTGGACAATTCAAATCCGTATATCAGCTCGACGTTCTTGAAATCCATTAATCAATTCGTCTCTCTCCCTAAAGAATTGATTTCGAATTTATATATATATATATATATATATATATATATATATATCAAGAAGGGACATTGTGACGAAGCTAGATTCTATATTTCCCACTTGTCTGTAATGTTTCTAATCAAAAAGCAGATTTTTGATAATAAATCAGTTTGTTTATGAATAATAAGTATGCACTAATAGCATTGGGATTTTATGTTTTTAAACGACATTTTTGTTGTTACTTGATTTAAAATATTGCAAACAAGTGGTAAATGCAGAAATTATTTTTGTCACTATATCCAATCCTAATCTGTATTATCCATCATCGAGTCTTAATGGAGAAAGACTTAGTGACTAATAGATATCAAAAACCTTTAGCTGATATACAATTTGAAATCGAGATCTGTCATTCATCATGACATTATATTATAAGACACTTTCATATTTCAGGTATATGATTTCTTCATTAAGGTAAATTGTGATATATTCATTATAGACAGTTTAAAATTATACCTATTAAACTAGAACTGAACAAACAGAGATTAGTTACTTCTCTCATAACGTTTATTTAATTATTTGATAGTCAAGTTAAAAATGAATAACAACTGGAAAGAAATGGAAAGGATTGCTTAGGACAGAGTTAGATGAAGAATACTGGTGAGCGACCTATGCTCCTCCACGAGCGGTAACAGGCGTAAGTAAGTAAGTAAGTAAACTAGTTAAAGAAGCTACAGGATTGAAAATATTAGTTTTCTTTTTATTTGTATTTTTGTGACATATGTTACTTTAAATAGAGGTTAATTAGACTTTATAAATTGACTTCTCATTATATCGTATCGTGATAAGTAATTGTGTTTTGGAAACTGTTGATCATATCTTCATTTCAATTTCTAAAAAAATTATACTGATATTTAAATTCACCTAGTATTGTTTGTTTGAATCTTCACATTGATGCTTAGGACTGTAACTGGTCAGTCTCTTATTGACATATTGTGCGTATTGCTTCGATATAGCCTTAATTCGCAAGCATTATAAGCTGAAGAGTCCCAAATAGGACGAAATTCGCATCCTGGATTCCACTGCTAGCCACTATCCATCTTTGCTTATACGCTGATATTTGTTTATAACTAGTTAGGAACGGTGTAATTTGTACATTCACTCTTAAAAATTAAATATTAAAAAGAAACAACAACAACTGATAACTTTAGATTGATGGATTATACCGACTGTACAGAAAAGATGTCTGAACCTTTTTTTTCTCAGTAAACTGATGAACTTATCCCATTTTTTTTAAAAACACTAATTGTTTATACTGGGAGCTGTGTTACCCAAGCAACTACAATTTCATGTTTCTATATCAATTTTTAACTTTAATTCATGTTCAAGTGAAGATACAGTTAAAGTATATAAAAAGAATTTTTGTTTTTCATTAGTTAGTAACTAATGATAATACTGACGTAATAGTATAGTTCAGTCATTTGATTACAAAGAAAGAATAAGAAAAATATATAATAAAAGTATTATATAACAGATATGGACAATTTCAAATGGATATTATTTTGGCTTCATTAAATTTTCATTGAGTTCAATTAGTTAAAGAGTAAATAGACACTAAAGTTGTTTTGTTACATTTAAGCAACAGTAACTAACTTTTTTTTACAAAATCTTGTGAGTATATTCAAGTGATGTATCATATGACGATAATGAATATATAACTAACTGAATATTAATTAAGACCATACTGTATCAATGACTTATTTCTATTTGATAACATTTTAAACTGACGGAAAATGAAAGGAAAGAGATAAGAATATAGTTCTCAGTTTACAAGACTGATCACTGTACACATACCATATACTTAGATGTATTAATTCGAAAACATTTCATGAATGATATCAGGGATGAAAATCGATCTATCCAGAAAGAATCAGTTTGACTCACTATATAGCGACCTTTTATTATTATTCTTATGATTAGTTCAATTGAAAAATATACGTAAAAACAATATTTGTATTTTGATGGAGTTCTGTTCTCTGAGCTGGATGGTTTGGTCGTGGAGCTTTCATCGTCCTTCTGAACAACATCATCAGAACAAACCCCTTAATAAATTTACCACGGTAGCTCAATTGTAGCAGATCTCTCAGTAACTTAGGATTTTAATTCAATAAATATATTATCTAAAATTCAGCGTATAAACTGGCCAAACCATTACAAGAAAGCTTTTATCAATGACGATCATGAAGGATATTGAAGATGAGAAAAAATGGTCTCTGTTAGTTATGTTTTCTTGAGAAAATGTTATTGTTAAATACTTATGCCCAAATTCCTAAATTTTATTTATCCAGACGAGAATAAATAAACGGTAACCGCTAAAAATTACTTGTGGACTAATATTATACGTATATTCTTATTACGTGACTACTAAGAGACTATATCATATGTACATTCATATTCCTTCCATTATAAGCTTTTATTTGATCTATTGACCATTATAATACGATTTACTGTTCTTGAGGTATCCCCAATTTATTAGTAACAGTTTCTCACAATCGCAGCCACTTTTGACAACTTACCTACTTACTTACGCCTGTTACTCCTCGTCGAGGAGAATAGGCTGCCCACTACCACTCTCTATCCAGCTCTCTCATGAACAATCCTTTCCAGTTTGTATATATCCTTTTCATGTCTGTTTCCAATTCCCGACGAAGTGTGTTCTTCGGCTTTCCTCTTTCCCGTTTCCTTTCAGGATTCCAAGTTAGCGCTTGCCTCGTGATGCAGTTTGTTTATTTCCAAAATGTATGTCCTATCCACGTCCATCGTTTCTTCCTAATTTCTTCTTCAGATGGAAGATCGTTTGTACCCTCCCATAGTAGGCTGTTGCTGATGGTATCTAGTCAACGGACATTGAGTATCTTGCGTAGGCAATTATTTTCAAAAGCTTGTAATTTTTTGATGGTTGTGATAGTTCTCCACGTTTCATCTCCGTACAGTAAACTGTCTTGATGTTCGTATTGAAGATTCTGAATTTGATATTGGTTGACAGTTGTTTTGAGTTCTATACTTTTGGCTAGATCTTGTACAAATGTTATCTTCTATTTTGTGGTGTGATGTGGTCTTATTTGTCGGTATATAAACCCAGCTCAGTGGTAACGTCTCTGACTGTGAAACTGAGTGACACGGGATCGAATCCGTCAGGAAGCACCAGCCAATAATAATAATAATAATAATAATAATAATAATAATAATAGTAAGATATCAAATTACGATCTGCAGCTTTTACTCAATCGATTTTCGGGATAAGTGAATAACTTTTGTCTTTGGTACTACTTACGTTGAATACTTTTAAGATATTAGCAAGGTTTTTTCGCCAAATATAATTGATGAGCGATTGTCTTTTGAATAAATAGTAGTTGTTTTAAGTTTGACTGGACCAATGTAACCAGTCATAATGAAATTCTTTTCATTTTCTTTCAGTAAATGCGGTTTTAAATGCTCCTGTAAAATGGGAAACAGAAAGTTTTACATCTTTTGTTGTTTTGACAAGCTGTTTGTTTTATTTGGAATGTTGATTTTTTAAAAGTCTTCCTCTTGATTTAGTATCCATTATGCAGTTATGGCTTTTAGTCGCTATCTTTAACTTGGCATTATGATAAGAATACGCACAGTACTTATAAACTATATCACTCCGTATTTCGAGGATTACAAGCTGACTTAGTTCTGTCAACCATGTCGCAATGTGTCTACTAATTCCTGTTACTTGAAATCACGTGTTCTGAGTTTGGGTGTTTATTGGTTTGGGGTAATCAACAAGAAGTTTTGAACCTGGACAACCGTCAATATAACCTGTAGTGTCTAGTACTGTGTCAATCCCACATGGGTTGTTATTGCTTCTAGACAGACCAATTTATTCATTCTTCTCGAGTAACAATTTAGCCTTGTTAATTATTCGCTCATCAACCTTGACTGTTTTTATGTGAGCGTATGTGTGTACATTGCTCTTCCTACTGACCGCGTGTCTGTAGATCATTTTTGTTTGACTATAAATATCGATTCACTCTTGGTTAAATCGAGTTGGTTCACATGCCTTCTTTGATTAGTTTCGCACTCTCCTCTTCGCTTTCTTCACCGCCCTTGCTTTATCCTCCTGGTTGTATGTTCAGGTCAACGAGTGTATGAAATATTAGTATTTAAACTCCATTCTCGTATGTGACTTATTTAATTTAATTATTCACTAACGCAATCTTAATCGATAATCATATACGAGGGTTGGCAGTATGTATATTTCTATAACAAACATCCATCCGATCGAACTGTAGTCAGATATGGGCCCACTAAAAACTCACAGCCGATACTTTTATGGGAATGGAATCTATCTCTCATGGCGTCACAGTTGGAGATATCAGTACTGAGATATTTAGGCTACACCTGAGCTCATGAAAGAATGAGATGTTTGCAATAACTAATCAATTTAGTGTTGATATTTGTCTAGTATTTACTACTTCAAGGAACCTATCGATCAAGATGTAATGTTTCAGGAACAAGACCGAGAAGTAACGTTACATTTGATATCTACTTTATTAACTAATTATCACTATCCATTGCACATCTTTTGTGTAAATTAACTTTCAATAACCAACATGAGAAGACCTTCAATGCATAATCTCTTAATGAACAATTAAACCATTATAAATGTATATTTATGAATGAAGAAATTAGAATTATCATTTATGTACGTCTATATATTCATTCTTTAAATGTACTTGTAACCACTACATATTTCTTTCTATGTACAATAGTTTGAAAATTGTTTGGTTTTGAATGTATCTATATGATTTGCTTAAAAACATTTCAATAATACATTCCATCAGAATTGTTAATTGAATCTATATATATAAATGTAGATATTTATGTGTAGGAGGGATTCACAAAAAAAATCAAAGTCTACTCATAGGATATAATGATCTATCAGTAGTATCTGTTGTTTCTTTACGTTTCAATATACCAACTCTTAATGCGAACCATTTCATTTTATCAACAACTTCTTCTTGCATTAATTTGAAACACATTGCAAATACTGATAAACCAATAGCAACATATAAACAAATAATAATCATTTTTTCCTTTGGATTAGTTGAATCAATTTTGGTACCTGAGTAAAAAAAACAGTTTGGAAAAATAAAACAACAACAACAAAAAAGACTAAAATAAATAGGAAAAACGTAAAAGAGTAATAGTGTGTAAATAATTGTTAAGCTAAATTCTGTTGAATTTATATTTATACGAAGAATATTTGAAAATATGACAATTTATACTTGGTTATTTCAATGTATTCAGCAAAGTTTCAGCAAGTTACACCAGGGATTCATCGCTTAGACACAAATTTACAAATTACCCACTCACTTACTTACGTCTGTTACTCCCAATGGAGCATAGGCAGCAAACCAGCTATCTCCGACCAACTCTGTCATCCACCTTCCTTTCTAGTTCTATCCAATTGTCGTTCATTCTTCTCATGTCTGTCTCCATTTCTCGGCATAATGTACTCTTTGGTCCCCCTCTTCTCCTTCCAAATTCAGGATTCCATGTGAGAGTTTGTCTTGTGACGCAGTTGGGTGTTTTCCTCAATGTGTGTTCTATCCACTTCCAGCACTTCTTCTTGAATTCTTCCTCCACTGGAATCTGGTTTGTTGTCTCCAACAGTAGAATGTTGCTGATAATGTCTGTCCAACAAATCCGAAGTATCTTGCGTAGACAAATGTTAATAAACACTTGTATCTTCTGGATGGCGGCCTTCGTTGTTCTCCAGGTTTCCGCCCAATACAGTAGAACTGTCTTGGCATTCCCATAATGTCCTCATATCCTGTGTTGTCGATACCAACCTCGGCATTTTAGTCTCCCATCAGAATGGTCAAGTCCTTGGTTGGGCACTTCTCGACGATTGACTGCAGCCTATCGTAGAATTGGTCTTTAACGTCTTCATCGTAGTCGTTGGTAGGCGCATAGCATTGGATGACGTTCATTATAATGCCCTTTCTCTTTGTTTTGAAGGAGGCTTTGATGATCATTGGTCCATGACATTTCCATCATATAAGCACACTTTGTGCTTGTTTGGACAGCATCAATATCACTCCTTGTGTATGTGGGGCATTTTCTTCTTCATGGCCGGTGTATAACAGCAGCTCCCCTGAAGCTAGTTGTTGTTGTCCAATCTGCGTTCAATATGTTTCACTGATCCCAAGCACCTTCAGGTTGCATCACCTCATTTCTGCAGCAATTTGGAAGACTCTTCCGGTCTTCCACATTGTCCGGACGTTCCATGCACCTATAACAATTGTTGCTCTGGTTGTTAAAAGGGGCATCGGCCTCATGACTTCCGAAGGAACTCGGATTTCATCATGAGACGTCATAATTATTCCTTCTACTCCCAGGGTAGAGTTTAAATGGCTTGAATTATTTTTCTGGTTAGAGTTTTTTAGCGAGTTGATTTTCTACAGGATGGGGTCGCTAACCCTATGCCCAATCCTCCTCCTTTATCCGGGCTTGGGACCGGCAGTAGCCCCCAGAGGAGCTACAGACGGAGAAATTTACAAATTAAATCTTTTAAATTTAGTAGGTTATTTACTGTATTTGATTTTCAAGATTAATTCTTACTTCTAGTCAATTCATAATATAGTATAAACAATATCAGTTGATCAATGTCTTCTTTAGAACGTTCAGTTCCCTCTTTTCCTATAATTAAACTGGACAGTAATATCTAAGGGATATAGACATTTATTTAGGTAACTAAATAGTACAAATAATCGAATGAAGTTGATTTAAAAATCTTAATGTTCAATGATATGACTAAAGTGAATGAAACATTCTAGTAGAATGACATGATACTTTTAGGAAATGTAGAATTACTGATTGAAAGTTAGCAGTAATCGAGACTATAAACATTAATTATTTATACAACGATATATAATATTTTCCTAAAGGATATATTTACATATTTTCTAATATTTCCAATGTCATTATCTGCTTTTAACTTACAAAAAAGCTGTAACTAGAAACCAGATATACTTACGTGAGTTTAATAGTTAATTTAATTGAACTGATATAAAAACCTAAGCAACATAACAAATGAAATCATTGATCACTAGCAAAATAACCATGCAACCATATCATATTACATAATGATAAATCAATTGCTTTATTTACATTCGAAAGTAATCAAACAGATATGAGTTTAATACTATAACATTTATAGAGAATACGAGAGGGGATGATCAATTGCAAACTATCTCAATAAAATCTGATAACCATACAGTAAATAGTTAATTTGCAAAATAACAATCCATTGTCTCAATCTTGACTATTCCTCCTACAAATATCAGTTCAAAATTTGAAAAATTCCCATATTGTGATTTAGAACAACATATATAAGCGAACAATATTGTTTTCGATTAGATCCTCATCAGGCTTTACTCTAATATACAGTAATATTTATATGCATATACGAAATTATTAAACCAATCAAGGCAGTTTATGAGTCAATGATTACACTACCAATTTGTACTTTTCACTTATTATTAATTTTGATTATGTAATCTATTCCACTGTTATCATTGACTCATAAACTGCCTTGATTGGTTTAATAATTTCGTATATGCATATAAATATTACTGTATATTAGAGTAAAGCCTGATGAGGATCTAATCGAAAACAATATTGTTCGCTTATATATGTTGTTCTAAATATCAGTTCATCTTCTCTGATTTCATTGTTTATGTATTTTCATACTGATTGCGCTTCGTTCTTATTCTTTCTTTATCGATCTTCTGCCAAAATATCTTCTATACCTGACCATCATCATATACTACTTATGTGTATATAAGTAATCCACACCACAATTATACCTACCAGTATACTAAATGAATAGATTCATGCCTATTTTAAGCTTTACTTATTATTCCGATTCATTTAATATATATATTGCATTATATATACATAGATACATATATTCCAATTTATACAAATGAATAACATTTTGGTAAAACGTTAATTTACTGAAACCTGTTGTCTACGCGAAATACTCAACATCCACTGGCCGGATGCTATCAGCAACAGCGTTTTATGGGTGAGGACAAACCAGCTTCCAGCTGAAGAGAAAATTAGGAAAAGACGTTGGAAGTGGATCGGACATACATTAAGGAAATCACTAATGTGCATCACGACTCAATCCCTAACTTGGAATCCTGAATGGAAGCGGAAAAGAGGAAGGCCAAAGAACACACTACGCCGGGAAATAGAAGCCGATATGAAAAGGCTGAATAGTAACTGGAAAGAACTGGAAAGGAAGGCTCAGGACAGAGTTGGATGGAGAATGCTGGTGAGCGGCCTATGTTCCTCCACAAGGGGTAACAGGCGTAAGTAAGTAAGTAAGTAATTTACTGAAACTTGAAGTGTGGAACGTTGAAGTTAAGTCCAATAAACTTTAAAACACTAAGAATATAAATAGAATTTTCATATTTGAAAGCATGAGTCAACTGAAGCTAGACTACCAAGGAAAACCTGGAAGCACTGTACGGCCGTTTCGTCCTATTGTGGGACTCCTCAGCAGTGCGCAACCAGGTATTCCTTGGTGGTCTAGCTTCAATTGACTCATGCTTTCAACTATGAAAATACTAAATCTCCACAAAAAAATCCTTCTGATTATTCAGTAAATTAATAGTTGAAAGGAACACTTTAAAACTAGGCATAGAATCTGGAGAGTAGTCGCAATATTAATGCTAACTTAAAATGTAACTCAATAATTGTAGTGGGTAAATATTGTTAATGAATGAAGAACGTATAAACAGTTAGAGGAAAATGTCTCTAGTGAATTTATACAGTATAGGTAATAGTTTATTAATGATATTCTATTTCTTTATGAAATCAGTTTATTAAGAAAAGAAGAATCAATGAAGACTATTATCTTAACTCTATGTGTAATTTTTAAGTATATACATTAAGTAGAACAGAAAAATATGTAACCTTTGTTCTATAGTAAATTAAATGGAAGTTTGGAATAGATTGAGTAATGTCTGATTCGCTATTTCTTAATAAAGACAATTATGGTAAGCAGAGATGGATAGTGGCTAGCAGTGGAATCCAGGACGCGCGTTTCGTCCTAACACATCGATGGGAAGATTCAAACAAACAATACTAAATGAATTTAAAGACAATTATGTTATAATGAGTAATAATAAATAATTTAATAGAAGAACAACTATCAAATGTTCAATAATAATACTTAGGCATTTAGTAAAACTGTGTTAAATAGAATAAGATATGATAGTACGAAAGGAAAGGTTATTGTTCTGAGACAAAATAGTTTCATCCAGTCAAAGAGTAACAATGTTTCTTTTGTGAACAACAGAGTTTTTTTTCTGCTAAATTAAGAATGAAGTGAATGTTTTCAGTGAGAGGTACAAATGTAGGATGTTCATCATGAAAAGCTTCACCAAATATATTGGGTTCTCTATTTTTATTTGGACATTTTTTTAAAACTAGGAGATAGTGATATTTATTATTAACGTTGCAATAATACATGTCAATGAGAATAGTTCTAGGAAGCTACAATTTAGTGAAATCACACAATGAACTAAACTATGCAAATACTTTTAAGTAAACCTCCGGCTAAATGGAAAATCCTCACCTCTCAATATCAACACAAATTACACTATATTGTTCAATGTGATATTAGATCAAACAAACGTAAAGCTGACGATAAGAAATCGGAATTCATTTCATATCCCAAATAATAATGTAAATGATGTCTTCTGATCTGAATTTACTAGATTTTTTTTGGAAAACAAAAAATTTTTTCCGTTTAGGGTTATGGAGATTGTTTAATTTTTATTGAGATCATGAACCAATCTTTTAAAGCTCAAGAATGAAGGACCTTGGTTCAATCCCCGGTTGCGCAGTCGTGGAAATTCGCCTTTAAGGAGTTCAAGACTAGGACAGAAAGATTGTTCAGTGCATCCAAGTTTTCAATGTTTATGTAACTTGGATCAGTAAAAGAGCTTAACTAAAATATCCCGTTGTAATACTTGTAAGTTTTATACCACGGAAATTCTAACTAGGCGAAATAATCGGTTAACAATTAATCTACGAAAAATTCAA